TTTGGATTTTTTTAGTATCTACATCTGATCCACGCCACCAATAGAATAGGTAGTTTCGCAATAACTTTGAAGCCAGGGTTTGATTGCTGATAAAATTGATGTTAATAATTTAGAAAGAGGTTTCGTGGAGCACTTGGAAGACCCAGCAATATAACATTGTTTGTAAGGACACTTATGTAGTTTAAGTATCCAATACTGTGAAGGAAGATCCAGTTCTTCATCTTTGGTTGAAATTCCAAACGAACATAGAACAGACCTATGATTATCCAGGATTTCCTCCTTAGAAAGTGTCGTGGGGGTATATGTTTAGTTTATAAGTGAATTGCCAATACCTAATTCATTTATCAAGCAGTTTATGTAATGTGATTAACACACAAAAACGATGTTGTTTGTAAACAGTTTCTTTATTTTGTAGTTAATACTAAATTGATACTTTTATCTACTCCAGTAGGATTTCTTTTCTCAAACTATCAAACTCTAATGTTAAATATAATTGCTATCAATTATTTTTCAAATAAATGAAAATGCTTTAATTATTTTATCACATTTTCGTATTTCCAAAAAGTGTTTTTTATTCATTATTTATTCAAACATATGAATTTAGAATGTGCTTTTAGGCGGAATTGGGTTCTCAAACAGCAGCTCACTCCAAATAATGGACTTAACAACACAATTCAATATAGTTTAATTTATTTTGCAATAAAGCAGCAACCAAGAATGGTCACCTTTTATGTATCTAACCTTTTTGAAATTATTTTTGTTACCACCAAAACATTAATGTTAAGTTGCTGTCTTGTGATTTGTTTTTCTGTTTACATAATTGTAAAGGGATATGTTTGTTAGAAATATTAAACCTTAAACAGTAGATACTTATTTTAATTTATGGCTTGAAACATTGAATAGAAATGTGCCTTTTGCTGTTGCCCTGCTGACCTCTAGAAGACTATATTTTCGCGTTGTTTGGTGAGTGTTTTAATGACATATTTCTCATAAAACCTTGTGTCTTAAAATATGCAGGGTCTTCGGATAATTTGATCCTTAAATTTTTCATAAATTTGGCTTTCCATCGTTTGACTTCAAGTGTATCTTATTAATCATGCGTCGTTGGAAAACAATAGGTATTTCATGCATGTTTTAATACCTCTATTAAGATTTAAAAAATAATTTTACCATTATGTTGTATTTTTGAACATGCTAAATTATCAAAGATGGCTCAGATCTGCCATATTTACTTAGTTTGGCTGAAAACATGTAAACATAAACCGTTTATTAATGCATCCCTTCGGATACCAATTGTTTCAATTTATTTTCCCATAGTTTTCTCGAACACATACTTCTTAGTCATTTGTAATTGCTACAAAATTTAAAAACATGTAAGTGTAATTACTAGGATAAAGTTTTTAATCGCAATTGAAAGTGTTGTAGTTTCACTCTTAAGAAAATGTCAAAATTGGTGTTATTGCTACACACGTTTCCGTGCGAAAATAAATGCGACAGTAGTTAAACGATGCTCAAAACTCGTAAATCGATAAGGAACAGACAAATCAAGGTAACAAACAGAAACAATCTATTTGGTAGATTGTCTATTTGGTAGTGTCTATTTGGTAGATTGTCTATTTGGTAGATTGTTTATTTGCTAGATTGTCTATTTGATAGATTGTCTATTTGCTAGATTGTCTATTTGGTAGATTGTCTATTTGGTAGATTGCCTATTTGATAGATTGTCTGTTTGCTAGATTGTCTATTTGGTAGATTGTCTATTTGGTAGATTATCTATTTGGTAGATTATCTATTTGGTAGATTGTCTATTTGGTAGATTGTCTATTTGGTAGTGTCTATTTGGTAGATTGTCTATTTGGTAGATTATCTATTTGGTAGATTGTCTATTTGGTAGATTGTCTATTTGGTAGATTGTCTATTTGGTAGATTGTTTTTGTCCAATATTTTAGAATTTAAACGCAATATAAATGTTATATCTTTTGTCAAGTATCGTGTGAAATGAAATATGTCAATTAATACCTCTTTGAAGATGTTTTGAAAACTAAAGCGCCTGTCAGAATTAACTTGAGATAGATCATTAAATGACTACATATGTACTCAAAAATTAATATGTGTATATATTAACAATTCTATATACTTAATAAAGATGTATTATAAATATATATGAAAAAGGAGTAGTGAGGTATAAGTTAATGAGACAGTGTCCCAACGACACAAACAGACTATCAATGATCCATCATGAACGCCAAATTCAACAAATGACAAAAAAAAAACATTTAGATTTAACAAAAGAACAAAAGCGACTACGTTGAGACAAACACTTACACATGTAGTGGAGTTAAACCATTTTATTAAGATCTGAACTATTCCCTTTAATTTCGACCAGTGGAATAACACGATGATATCAATAAAACAATAAAAGAAAATAAGAATCATTACAGGAAAATCACTTAGCTTTGTTAGAATAACACTGATTGCATAGAAAAGGGCAAACAGTTATAATCAGCACGACCGTTCCTAAAAATAACCCGCAGTTACTAAATAGATACTTGGGATAAAAATAATAATTAATTTTCCCCACTTTTTAATGTACATATGAATTCCGTTTCTATATATTTTCTCTGTTAGCTGATTGTTATTCTGTCTATCTGTTAGCTGATTGTTTTATGTCTCTCTGTTAGCTGGTTGCTATTATGTCTGTCTTTTAGCTGATTGTTATTGTGTCTCTCTGTTACAGGATTGCTATTATGTCTCTCTGTTAGCTGATTGTTATTATATCTGCCAGTTAGCTGATAGTTATTGTGTCTGCCTGTTAGCTGATTGTTAGTGTGTCTCTCTGGTAGCTGATTGTTATTATGTCTGTCTGGTAGCTGATTATTATTGTGTCTCTCTGTTAGCTGGTTGTTATTGTGTCTCTCTGGTAGCTGATTGTTATTATGTCTGTCTGGTAGCTGATTGTTAGTATGTCTCTCTGATAGCTGATTGTTATTGTGTCTGCCTGTTAGCTGATTGTTAGTGTGTCTGTCTGGTAGCTGATTGTTATTATGTCTGTCTGGTAGCTAATTATTATTGTGTCTCTCTGTTAGCTGGTTGTTATTGTGTCTCTCTGGTAGCTGATTGTTATTATGTCTGTCTGGTAGCTGATTGTTAGTATGTCTCTCTGATAGCTGATAGTTATTGTGTCTGCCTGTTAGCTGATTGTTAGTGTGTCTCTCTGGAAGCTGATTGTTAATATGTCTGTCTGGTAGCTGATTATTATTGTGTCTCTCTGTTAGCTGGTTGTTATTGTGTCTGTCTGGTAGCTGATTGTTATTATGTCTGTCTGGTAGCTGATTGTTAGTATGTCTCTCTGATAGCTGATTGTTATTGTGTCTGTCTGGTAGTTGATTGTTATTATGTCTGTCTGGTAGCTGATTGTTATTATGTCTCTCTGATAGCTGATTGTTATTATGTCTGTCTGATAGCTGATTGTTATTGTGTCTCTCTGTTAGCTGATTGCTAGTGTGTCTGTCTGGTAGCTGATTGTTATTGTGTCTCTCTGGTAGCTGATTGTTATCATGTCTGTCTGGTAAGTGATTATTTCTCTGTCATCTGGTTGTTATTATGTCTGCTAGTTGCTTGTTTACCTATATATATCAGGTATTGTCATTCGGTTTAACAATGAAAATAGTACTTTGTAAATTTGGTGCGTTCAAAGCGCTTTATTGTATTTTACTTCATCAAGAACTGTCATACCCAAAATATTAAAGTCAGAGATGTATAAATACTTGAAAAGCCATAAGAAGCTATATAACGTAAGGGATATTTACACAATAGCCAAATCCATCTGATGGTCATCTATGCAGGAGGGGGTTGGATTCTAAGATTCTTAATAATTCCTAAATTTATCAATACTTTAAGAAAGGTATTTTATAAATCATGTCAGTACCGAAGTTCTTTTTTTCATTATACATGTAGTCAATTCATGATATGCAAAGTGTTCAAATGCACATGTGAGTAAAGCACGATTAATATGCTGCCACTTAACAAGTCAAGTGGTAATTGCCACGTGAAATCGTACGCAATCATTCTGGGTAAGCACTAATTTCTGTTTAATTTTCACTTGAAAATTATCAGTTGGACACTAATAATTTCTTTAATGAGTCAATAAACAGTGCGATTACTACAGAATTATGTTGAATGATAAATTATCTGAAACAATAAAGTAAATATAATTGATTGTTAACGTACACATATAGGTAGTCTGACTGGGTATCGAACTCGATGAGAATATTGGTCTGACTGGATTTTCAGGATCAGTGTTCGGACATCCTGGGCTTGTTAGCAATCAGTTTGGTTAATTAAGATATAGACATCTAAAGTACCTGTTAATTTATAAGATTTTTCTGAACATAAGCCGGTCGTGGATTTTTTTATTGTTTGAGTTCAATGACTTTCTGAAAAAGATGTTTTAGTGTTTTTGCTTTCAAAAAAGGTGCTGAAATAAGTTACGATAAAACGCTACAGTTTTAGACTAGTTTCAGGTACAAAATAGTATTTTAAATAAATAGAAGCGGGAAAGCAAACGATTGTCAGACAGCAAATAGTACGAGCTTTTTAAAATAAACAAGTACAGATTAAAATTTAATGACTAATTGAGATTCACGTATTTGCATATAACAAAACAAAAACATACGCTTACATTTATTAATTTATTTGTTAATGTTTTTTGAAAAAAAAGTGTTCAAAGTGGTTACCAAAGTTGCAAATGTGATCGCTTAGAAATCATTTAAATATAAAACTTTTACAATTCAACTATTATTATTTTGAATTGTTTGAACGACCACAGCTATACAAAAAATTCAATAATAGGAAAAGTCAATGTTTCTTGCAGTAAGTAGGTATACATTAACTATTTGTATTGTAAAATAGTAAATAGATCATTGTTTTGTTGGTATTTACAATAAAAATAGATTCATGCAGAATTTTTATCACTTATTTCATGCATTGCGTTGATCAACAGTTTACGTAAAAGGATGTGTTAATCGCTTAGTGTATGAGATGATAGGTAGTAAAAGACTGTGATTGACAGTTACTGTAAGTATATTAGACTAATATGTATGAAATATATATCCTTGATAATATGTTGTAGCTGAAATAACGCATCCTCTAATTTCAGAATATTTTGGATCCACCAACCACTTCTGTCATACTGGTAAGTCGAACTCTTTTGTATTTATATTGTAAAAATACGGGAAAGAATACACAAACAAACACAATTCATTTTTTTTTTCTTACCTAATGAATAGATAACTTCAAGTATTTTCAGTTGTTTAACAATCTTTGATAGAATGGTGTTTACACGAAATAAAGACTACAGACAAATACAGAAAATAAATAGAACTAATTCCATGACTTTTTCATAAATATCCCTGAGTAAATGACATAAAATTTAAGCCACATTTTGTTGAAAAAAAATTATTGTTACATCTAGACATGATACATGCATTGACACTACTGTTAATACCTCACTTGTTACATTTGGTAGAAAATACTATGATATCCGTTCAATTTGCCATGAAAATCATGTTGAGATTCATTTTCAAGCACAGTCCGATGCAGATATCAATATTTGGTACTATCAAAACTCCTTAAAACACATTCATTTACTTGTTTTTCTTTATTTAAATAAAAAACTTTGATAGTGGAAAGTGTGAGTTCAAATCATGTTTTAATTAATGGCAATATTTTTGAAAATGTAGCTGGGGTCTCAAGTGTCAAAAATTAAAAGCAACACTTTATAAATTTCATGCGTCCAAATTTCTGAATTTACCATCATTAGGAACGCTCACAGCCGAATATTTGAATGCCAAGGATGTATAAGAACCAAAACAGATGAAGTGTTATACCATGTTAATATTCTGAAAGAATCAAACTTCTCGAAAGCAATGTTTATAAAATAGCGATAAATTGGTTAGGAATTTCTATATTTAAATGTATGGTTCAATACTTTTGTGAGTTTAAAGTAAAGTTTTTTTTTCAGGATATGTTTTGGTCTAAGTGTTTACTGTGTTTCATAATAGTAATCGTCATATGTCTAGATGTAATCATGTCTTCTCCGCTGAGATCATATCAAGATGTTTTGGATCAGGAAGACAGAAAGGTAACTTGATATAACGATATATTAGTCTAAATACCTAGGGCTGGTCTCGCACCACTTGAATATCATACAATTAGATTGTTTCAAATATCATGTTTGTATATTTCAACTGATGTCGATATATTTCCTTCATATTTTGGTCTATTGTAATATTTCTATATTATCGAAAAAGTCACCAGCTTTGTTTAAAAAATTAAAGGGAAAGAAAATCAATGAATGTTTAATTGATTTTTAAAATGTGTGTGTCATTAGTCTACTTTTATTTCCTTTATTATTTACGTATAAAGGTTGTAATATGTTTAATTAACATTTACTTATTTTTCAATAACATTTGTAGACTTTTGTGTCAGGTTTCTTTGCGTCATTTGATATAATTGATGTACTATACGATGGACTTACATCATCCAGTAGTTGCTCGTGATGCGTTGACTTGGGTCAAATACCATTTTTTCTGTTGTTAATTTATACTAAAAAGGTTAGATGTAATTATCACATAGGAATGTGCATATCCATTTTGTCCCAGGTTAGAGTTGTTTTTTGACATTGTTCCTACATCTTTTTTTTAATTAATACTGTATCTATATTGTGACATAGATCAAACTTATTCGTTCAGTGTATGTTTACTTGTTTTTGTGTATATGTCTTTTTGATCGAATTAAGCCATTTCAATTGATAATTTATAGTGTGCTTTTTATGTTGTAATGTTACACTACTGTTTCAGGTTAGGGTGAAAGTTGGCGCCTGTTAAAACATTTAAACCCGCTGCATGTGTATGCACCTGTCCTAAGTCTGGAGCATGTTGCTCGGTGGTTGTCGACTGTTAGTGTGGTTCATAAGTGATTCTCGTTTCTCGTTTTTTATATAGATTAGACCGTTCGTTTTCCTGTTTGAATTGTTTTACACTAGTCATTTTGGGGGCTGTTATAGCTTGCTGTTCGGTGTGAGCCAAGGCTCCGTGTTGAAGGCCGTACTTTGACTTATAATTGTTTACTTTTTATACATTGTGACTTGGATGGAGAGTTGTCCCACTCATACCACATCTTCTTATTTATACATATGTAAATGTCGCTTTAATGATGCTATTAATTAATTTATATTTTGTTTTAATCCTGCAATTTATAACCGGCACTTGAAGCTTTAGTTGTTTAAATCTAAATAGTTGTCTCTGATGTTTCAAAGAAATCTATTTAGTTTAAAAAGTCAAAGCCATTGAAGTAAGGCCTCAAGATCACTCCATCTATATTGTATCAAAACTCTGCCGTTCCAATAATTAGCTATTAAAACATTTTGGAAATGATAATGTTTAATAAAAAATTAATTAACCGGTACAGATTTTTTTTCTCACAATGTAAATAGTGTAAATAGTGTAGAAAAAAATAATCAATGTTACCAGTATCATAATTTTGCACACCAGACGCTCTTTTCGACTATATCAGATTCATCAGTGGTGAGTGCTCGACTACATCAGATTCATCAGTGGTGGGTGCTCGACTACATCAGATTCATAAGTGGTGGGTGCTCGACTACATCAGATTCATAAGTGGTGGGTGCTCGACTACATCAAATTCATAAGTGGTGGGTGCTCGACTACATCAGATTCATAAGTGGTGGGTGCTCGACTACATCAGATTCATCAGTGGTGGGTGCTCAACTACATCAGATTCATCAGTGGTGGGTGCTCGACTACATCAGATTCATAAGTGGTGGGTGCTCGACTACATTAGATTCATAAGTGGTGGGTGCTCGACTACATCAGATTCATAAGTGGTGGGTGCTTGACTACATCAGATTCATAAGTGGTGGGTGCTCGAATCAAAACAGTTGGAAGGCTTAATCAATACGTAATTGAAGATAACTAAAAACCAAAAATTACGAGAACATTTCATGTCAGAATTTCTATGTACTCTAACTCTACACATGCATCACAAACTTTATCTACATTTTTAGTTTGAAAATTAAACACATTCATTTGACCAAACTTTCTAGTAAAAAATTCAAAACTATCAGTGATCTTTTAAAATTTCTACATCAAAAGAATTTATGGTCCTTTGTTTTCATACCATTTCAGCGCTGACAATGGTTATGTTTTGGATGAAGTTTTATCTATAAGTTTTCAACTTACATCAATACATGTTTTAAAAAAACACATGTTCCATGACCATCTGAAGACATTAGTTGATGATTGCGTTTAAATATGAAAAAGTGCTTGTTTTTCCCATTTTGCACCAGTTCTATGACTTGATAAAAGTTAACCAGTCCCTGAAACTTTTTTTTCTGTTTTGAAATTCTGTACTTATTTACCTTTACGACTACAAATGTCCCCTCTAGGTCAAACATTATGATACTCAATAAAATTTGTTAATTTTCTTCATATAACACACTATGTAATTTTTTTGTTTATTTTTATTTTTTTCGTACGATGGTTTGTGACCAGAAAACTGATTATATAATAAAAAATGTCGTCAATATTGATTGATAATTTTAAGGATGTATCTGTGTATCTATTTAGTATTAAAGTTTTATATAGAAAGAAAAAGTGCAATACTTTAACGCATTTATACAAACAATTAATGTATTTTAAATAGCATCCTGCTCATGTCAGATTGGAATGTGATATAATACATCTTTGTTTTAATGGTTTAAAATTTCCCATGATAATAATTATTCTCGTTAATCGAGTTTACTGATTTTTATACAGTCTTGCTGGAGATAATTTATCATGAGAAACGGATTATTGTGATATAATTGAGAGATATCTGTCTATCAGGATTTGATATCTTCGAGTGACTTAGTGTACCTAACAAATCCCACTACGAGACATACAAATTGCAGTTTTTAACAAGAATCCGATGTGAATTTCCGACAACAGGACAATGATGTTTTAATGCATGGTTAATTCAAAGATAGAAAATGGGTTCTCTATATATGGTGTTTTCAATGTTGGTCGTTTAACTTGTACCTTAAGAGCTTGAAACGGCGAGATAGTCTGCGTATCCATAATTGTCCGATTTCGCATGTTTTTGGTATACTAGAGTCAACATGACATCTAAAAATGCAGCTTCAAACTGGTTTATTCAAAAAAAGAAGTAAAAGATGCGCGAAAAATGCCATCATAGTTTGAAACGTGATTTTTATGGTTAGCTTACTAGTATTTCATTATATATAATTATATATTCAAACTAACTGCCTTATGGAAAACAAGTCGTTTAAACGCATATTAGTACCGGTCTTAGATATCGGATACAATATTCACAGATTACGACAAAACGGTACTGTGTGATAAAATTACTAGATCCTTTTAAACAAGTATGTAGTGGGACAACATTGCATCCTATATAACCTGAATCCAAAAGTGTTATGAAATATACTTGCTTGTCAGTTATAGAATATTAATAATGACCACCACTTTTAACTATTACAGAACTTAGGCAATAAATACAAAATAATGATTTTCCCCCAAATGTCGTCGTATCGTGAGCCAAATCCATATACTGAAAACAAAACGTTCAGTGGATAATGTCGAGGATTATTCCAGGCAGTTTGGTAACCGTGAACTAAAATTATGCTCTTAACGAACAGATTGAGGTCTTTAATAGGAATTAAACTAATAACGGGGTAATAAACGCTTGTGCTACATTTATCTGCCAACCCAGAAACGTTGCTAACGACCTCCTTTACATCTATGACAAAACATTAAAATTCCCATGCAATATCTTTAATCGTAAATCACATTATTCAGAGAATGATATATTTTCAGTTCAGCTAAGTTCCTCGTATACTTCAACGACATTAACTAAAGGGGAAATCCTGTACAATCGTATGTTACTTTTATATTACATCCCTCTACTACAATTACCTAAATTACGGAAGTGTTCTTATCCCTACCGTTATGTTGTTGGGTTAGCACAATGCTAACGGAACATTTTTCCAATTTACTTACTGCGAATAATATATGATACTAAAATTTCACAGATTTGTGTTAAAGTACGAACAACCTTAGTTCCTATCCCCGAGAACATTATCCGCCCAGTAGCATACATTGCATGAAACTAAGAAGATCTAATGTATGGCGTTGTCAGTTTGACTTCGACTTATGATTTTGAATATTCCTTTTGTATCTACCACCTCTATTTTACAACAACTCGGTCAATGTCACTGCCTGTGTAATAATTCGTTGGAAAATATTTAAAAAAAAAAATAGAAAAAGGTATAAATTGATTACCATAGTACATCAGATCTTTCGTTTAAAAAAAAAAGAAGTATGGCAATTACTCTAATTATTGCTTTAGAGTGCACTACTGATAACTCTTCTGTCTTGGAACTTTCTTCTGTCATTTTGCCTAATTCTTGGTTTTGTCGCTGTCAAGAACAAAATACACAGGAGACAATTTCATTTAATTATCTTTTATTTAATACTATTAAATGACTTGGTGTTAGATATACAAGGCGTGCAATTTATCTTCAGAAAATCTACAGGATAATTTTACATTTCCTTTTTTTTAATTGATGGATAAGTGATGCATTGCTCCTAAACTTATTCGTATTCTATGTTTAGACTCTAAAAGTTAAGAGGTGGATGTTTCATGTTAAATTAAATTCGGTTGTTCTCAGAATTGACCATTGTACGTCAGCTTCCAATAATAATAAAAAAAACTAGGAAACTGAAATGTCAGCAAGGACCCCTTTTGCACATGTTTGTGTGAGACACAGAACTAAATAATTTACTACGTTTTGAAAATGGAAGCAGACGAATAATTTAAAAACAAGAAATTATTTCATGGAATCATATTCAACCAAGATGTCCACTTTCGTTAAAATCCTAGTCATATGAATTTTGTATGCCATTTCGAATGTAGGTTGATGGATAACAAGTTACGTCAATATTCAATTTGGCATAATTTACCTTCATATTTATTTTCGTTGAAATCTGAAAAAAATTAGTATTAACAAAAACTATGTTTTAAGACACATTTTTTATCCAAAAAATAAAAGGCATATTTACAAGTACTGTACACAATTGTGTTCCAGTCCTACTCAATATTTTGGAGATTTTGCAATCTTAAAACTTGTTTCTCAAAATGACCTTCCTTTTGTCGATATAAACACTGTGCATAAAATTATAGACATCGGTAGAGACAATTTCGACTTACGATACAACATAGACGTAGCAGATGGAGAGTTTTCTGTAGGGTTCCACTGATTTTTACGGTTTGACATATCGTTTACCTGCCTTATTTCTAAGAAAACCTGATTTTATAAGTCTAACTGAAAAGTTAAGATTTAAATTGTTTGCATTTAAATGAAATGGGGAGAATTGTCACGGTTCCAAAAATAAACCTCCTCCTCCAGTTCCAAAAATTTGTACATCCTCTTCTCATCAATAATTTAAATCGAAATTCGTACAGTGAAGAAGGCCTCGTCAGCACAAAAAAAAACTTTTATATATGTTGTACCCATTCGCGGTCGTTTTAGAAAATCATTGATTTAAAGTATTTAAATATACATAACACTATCGTTTAAAACATGAATCGTCGGTACTCATTCCTCTTTATATCTAATGGTATTCGATCATGAAATTACTTCTAATCACCTGCTATAATTACCAGTAATTTGTCAACGATATCAGTTTTGTTTTAAGCTTGCATATATTGAGGATGTACATAATGAAGTTAATGTCAGAAATTAGACAATCGTTTTGATTAGAAATGGAAAACAGTCGTCTCTATTTGGTGTGTAAGAACAGAAGATGTGTTCCCGCAACCTTGTCAATGATACGTGTTACAGCTGTTAGTCAATTTAAAATAATGTTGTTTATGTTTAATACAGAATTGCCGGTGTGTATCCCAACTGCGTTTCAGTTAATAAATCATATATTGTATACTTTCGACGATCAAATGGTAATGTTAAAAGTAAATATATGTATTAGATGATCAGAAGTAACCAGAGTAAATATCTATGTAAGTTGGCCAGAGGTAACCGAAGTCAATATCTGTATCAAGTGACCAGTTGTAACCACAGTAAATATATGTGTTAGGTGACCAGATTTAACAACAGTCACTATCTGTGTAAGGTGACCAGAGGTAGTAACCAAAGTCTACATCTGTTTTAGGTGATAATAAGTAATTAAAACCAATCTTCGGTGTAAGCAGATTCAATATCAGTGTAAGGTGACCAGAGGTAACCAGAGTAAATATATGTGTTTCTTATACCTATTTTATATCTAGTTTTATTCTTATGAGTCTATCATAAAACATTTTGTACTGATAATTACATTCAGAATATTTGGCTGTTCAAGTGAAGTTTCACTTATTTAATAAATGAATATATGTTACCATCACAAATGTATGAGGCAGACGTCTGCTATAATAAATACATATTCTGCGAAGGGATGAGTTCAACTGAAGTTTCTGTACTTCATGGTACATACAGTCCGATAGTTAAGTTTATTTTTTCGAACCATTAGTTTATTTTTACAACCATAATATTACTACGTAGAATAGCACTATTTATAGAGGTTACCTCTGGGCACCTTTCAGTGGAACTATTACCTTGTGCCATACAAGTTAGGTACAACGTTTAGTTACCACTTTAAAACATAATTGTGCCTATAAACTCACAATCTTTACTATTATCTTTTTTATACCTCAACTGAAAATTATTTTTTTTCTATTTGCTTCATTTTTAAATTAAATTGCGATACATGTTATGCTGCAAATGTTCAAAATTTGTATACTGAACAGCATTGAAACGATCTAGTGTTAAGCAATTAACCTTACATAAACGATTACAAGTAATTTGAATTCATTGTGATTTAATGTTCAATTCCATGAAAATCGATACATGTACTAAGAATACTCCTAATGAACTAATATAAAAAGCTTGCAGAGAAATCAACTGAAAAAAATGGAAATAATCGGAAAGAATTATTTTTTTATGACATATATGAAAAATGTCTGGTCATACGTGACTGTGCTCTACATCCCCAACTTTTCACGATAAAATAAGCATTTCAGTTATAAATTTTAAAAAACGAACATCTTTGACTGCAAATGCTTTCCATGACTACGTTATAACAAAACTTAGAAATATTTAAAACAAACCAAAGTAAAAAAACTAACATTTTTATTTTTACAGATGATTGCCTTGGCTAATATTATGCGGTTAGCGATGGCTTTACCAGACAATGGGATGTTTTTGGATAAACGGAATGCTGGAACTGTAGATACGTTATACAATCTTCCAGATTTGTTTTCTGCAGGTCGATGAGGTAATATTTACTTTCAAAAATTCCTATGTTAGTAAAGACCCTTGTTGTACATTATTGTGAATAATTGATATTGATGCCATGAAAGCAGTATAGCAAATAGGACACATAGTATATGTCCGCTAGCAAAAGATAAAAATAACCAAGTAATAGTAAAATTGAGAATGGAAATGGGGAATGTGTCAAAGAGACAACAACCCGACCATAGAACAGACAACAGCCGATAATAGTGTGTGGTTTGATTATGATTGTTTTAATACAAATAGCTTTAAAAATTTCACCGAGGAAATAATATAACATCATAGGTTAGATACTGACTTTCTCACTGATTAACAAGTTCTTTGGATATTCTTTTGGTTCTGATATTGCCTCTCTGACTGTAGTATTCCGGTAATTGATATTCCTTTGGTCGTGGTATTATCTCCTTGATTTTAGTTTGTTTTTTTAATGTTCTTTAGGTCATGCGAGATCCGTTTCTGATTGAAGGATAATAAACAGTTCTTTTTGAAGTGGTATTGCCTCTTGGAATAACGTGCTCTAAAGTCCTCCTCTTGCACATAGTATTGCTTCTCTGATTAGAAGGGCGCTCTAAGGGTAAATTTTAGTTATGGCCTTGTCCCTCTTTTTAATTTTTTTGATTCGAGCTTCACTGATGAGTTTTGTAGACGAATCGCGCGTCTGGTGTACAAACTTTTAATCCTGGTATCTATGTTGAGTTTATTACCAACTGGTGCTTTGGATATTTCATTGGTCACCGTCTTGCTTTCTGATTAACGGGCACTTAGAGTTCACTTTTGATCATGGTATTGCTTCTTTGTTTTACGAGTTCTTAAGATATTCTTTTGTATATTGTTTTGCTTATCTGGATAAAGAGCTCTTACGACTTTCTATTGCACATGGTATTATTAATCTTATTAGTTTGCTCTTTAAGATTTCTTTTTGGCAATGGAATTGTCTTCTTATTTTCTGTCATGGCATTGCTACTATGGTTCATGAGTTCTTAAAGTTTATTTTTGATCGTGATACCGCCTCTCTGGTTAAAGGGCTCCAAGAGTTTTCTTTTGGTCACGGGTATTTTCTTTCTAGTTTTGGGCTCTTAAAAAACTGACATACTATTGTATTGTATATGGTCTTGTTTGATCAGCAGGATTTATGTGATTGTTTTTATTTCATTTATACATAATAACTAAAAAATCTTTTAGGGTTCTCTTGCAACCATATGTGAGCTTATCACGGCTTTATATATGATATTGTAACGGACCGTCGACTTCTTTTTTGTCATTGTGCATCACAATACAAAATCATTTCCAACTACCGATACTATTTTGCTATATGAAAACAGAATATCCATCATCGTTCTTTGAAAATGATTTATATTAGGATCTTAGTTTTATAATACCGAAACGCGCTATAACCAATAGCTATTGGAAATAGTATTTACAATATATAATATAGTTTATATGATGTGTGTACGATCAATGAGTTGTTGGCTTAACTTGGGATTAACGTTAATCTGATCTTAATCAATAGGTTATTGCTTGTCCCCGTACATTCAACCAACCTTTTCATCATTACAGATAACAGTGCAGACGATTGAAATTTTACGGAGACAAATTCAGTTTTATGTCGCACGTGTTTATGTTTTGACAAATTATCAGTTATTGTATTTTGAAAAGCAAATTACTTCTGAAATATTGAACATCAATCTAAAGAATAGTGAGAAGTCATTACAGAATATTGTTTTGTATGACAAAGATACTAGTTTTCTATTATACCTTTCCGGTTTTATTTCATATTTCGTCTCAAAGAAAGCGCAATTACAATTCACTCAAGTTTTTTGCACTTTAAATTATATCAAATAAATAGAATACTGATTATTGGTTGGTTCATTAGAACTTTTCTGACGTACTGAGGTAGGGACATTTTTTATCGTATTAACTACGTCTATTGATAGGGAACATGCCTGAATAGTGGTATAAGGCATAGGCATATACCGTAACAAACGTACAGCATAACACCTTCACAGCAAAACAAAATAGAAGGGGGTGAGGAGGCAACCATTAGTATGTATTCAAAGGACAAACCACTCGATCGCCAAATGAAAAAGGACAAACAATGTAGTCCCTTTGTACATTTTTGTTCTTGGCTTTTTCCTTTTTTTTGCTGAGGGTTTGCGTTTACATTCATTAGCTAAAAATAACGGATATTATGGAAACAAAAGAGTTGCATTCATACTTCGAATTACTCCGACATCAAAGGGGATTATTTTTACAAATAATAGTGAAATCAACATCTTTAAATCAGTTTTTTCATTTCCGAATTTGACTCATTATAGATTACAATTAACAGTAGGAATACGGTTTCACATTTTGGCAACTATGCGTTTGAAAAATATGGAGTCAATTGCGGAATTAAACATTTCGGTTGGCTTAAGAATAACATAGCCTTAAAGAGGGTTTATATGAACATTTTACTTGATTTATATAAAATAAGAAGATGTATAATTGCTAATGAGACAACTATCCACCAATGTAAAACCAAACAAATAAGCATACGAACAACTACAGGTCAACATATAGTATTCAACAATGAGCAAAGCCCATACCGAGTAGTAAGTTATAAAAGACCTCGGGAAGACAAAATGTCAAACAATTTGAAGATTTAAGCTAAAACAATAAAATAAAAATTATAGCAGACAACAACCAACTACCAAATAAAAGCCTCTGGCTCGCATGGGTATATTAAGAATGTGACGGGTTTAAACATGTTTACTGGTGCTAAACGTTTCTTTACCTGAGACAGTGGTGTTGTAAGAAAACAATACAATAAACTGTAGAAATCTCCATGACAATTTGTATTTCATGCACAAATCCGATATTGAAACTGCTTGCATTAGTCCTGTGGTATTATTGTCTGGGCCACAGAGATATTTGTACCTGCTTCTAACAAGAAGGAAAAAAACCGAAACTGAAGTACTTTCATTATAAAATTCAATAATATAATTATGTGAATAAGTATCATGGCCATAATCTTTATAATATAATCTACGGTTTTGCAGTATGTATACGTGTATTGAATACAAAAGTTTAAAAAATCATTTTTACCTGTACGAGGAATTATTCCATATTTTCTACATCTGATTTATCCTTCAACTTGGATAAATGAGTTTAGTAGATGCTGTATTTCTATCTAATTACATTCTTCAGATATATATTGAACGAAGCGGATACACAAAAAGCAACCTAGTTCCCAAAAAGTAAATAGTATCCTATTAATTTAATTTAGGTACACAAAATGTGATACAATTTTACGCAAAAAAATCAGAAGGAAAGAACCTGATTTTTATTTCATTGTTTGAATATGTATTTCAATGCTTACCACGTTTATTTAAGATTAATATTATGGCAAATCCGAGCGGATGTGGCCATTCATCCGAAAATAATATAGTTCACACTTTTCAACTATTTGAAATCATTCTAAATATAACTGCTGAATTTCAAAATAACAACATTTTCATAAATGACTTCTTTTTCCAAAGTTCATGTATAATATACACATGTATCCCAATTATAGAAAATAAACATATATTCTTGTTTAGATCCATGGCTATTTTTTATTCCCTGGGCCAAACGTTAGATGCAATTCATATAGAACTTGATATCATTCCCGGTTTTATAAGGGAGTTCATATGGCTCAAATCTTTAGTTGAGTGTTTTTATTGTTCGAATATTTTACTTTCTAACTTATTTCGAATTCTTATTCACCTTTTAAGATATTTAGCTCAGTTATGGCGAATTTGTAAAAAGCTGGTTCTATACATTGATATGTGTCTACTAAACACGGTTTCTAACATAATAAAGGTTCATAACCAAACCTAACACCCGAATTATTTGTTATTTGTTATCTAAATTCATACATTTTTATGCGATTTGTTTATTTAACAAAATGTGCGATGAAATGTAAAATCAACTGTACCATACAAATGAATATATGTCTTTTTTTATTTTGCAGATTACGATGATGGCAGTTCAATAAAGAGCAAAGATTCATTGTTTCCTCTTTTTATAAGATGTTTATCACGAATGTCGGCTTTAGTTGCAGCTAATTTAAATGTCATATGTTTTAACAACAAAACTTTGGTTATCAAAACTAATTACGCAATAATCTTAAAAGACATAAACCTGTTTATTTATCAATGTAAAAGTTTGTGTAGAAATATGGTAATATAATTTCGCTTTCGACAGAAGACCAATCAAAAATTACAATGTATTATGGAAATGCCATTATTTAAACCAAATTGATTAGTCAATGCATTATTCACGCGGGCTGTACAAATTCCTTCGAGAAGACAGACGTATGATGTCTTTTAATTTAGTAGATGTGGCATGATTGTAAATGAGATAAACATTCACCGAAGACCAAAAACCTAAATTGTTAACATCAACACGTCCCAACCTCAAGGGGAAAGATACAAAGTAGACAGCTAGCTTGAATAAAAGCATCAAACAATAAAACTAATAAAACAAAGCAGAACCAGGAAGACAACGACCCTCCTTGACTACATGCTTCTGATGTGGTACGAACACATTATGACACATTTAGGTTTTACTGAACTTAACTACTTTCTTTTCTAACTTTGGTCAGTGGTGTGAAAATAAAACCGTGACAGAAGATAACTGTAGAACTTAATTGAAAAAGACTTATTTCTGCAGATTGATACTAATTTGATAAAGTGATTTTATAATCCACTTTCGTGAAGTAATTTTTTCATCATGAAGGTTTGGTTAATAAAGTTTCTTTGTTGTATACATTTTATCGTTATGATGTTATACTTAGTAAGAGAAGCACGCTCCCCCACGGGAACATGCCTTAATTTAAATTTCTTCCGATGGGAGACAATGCTGTAGGGACCCATTGCGTATTATTCCAAATACATTTGTTAATCTTAAATAAGACCCTCTTTTTAAAG